TAATTAAATTCCCAACATGTTTAAGTTCTAAAGTCAACTGAAAATCAGGGGAAAAAAACATTTCAAGTTATTATCTTCTATATGTAAACAATGGTCACGATATAGCATTTATATGGCATTTAACAATAATTTGTCATTACATTTCCTCACTTGTTTATGTTAATTCCAGCCAGAACAAACCTGTTGGTCAAACAAAGTTCTTGGAAGAAGTCTAAACCATCGGAAACTGTCCAGAAACGTTGAGACAGACGATGTTTGTTCACTCAAGGTGAAAAACAAGACATTATTAAGTCAACGGCATGACGTTCTCAACTGGAATTTAGACAGAACCGAGACAGAAAGAGTTGAAATTACCATCAAAATAACGTTTGCATCTGAAGTTGTTTATCTCAATCTGTAAACTAGAATTTTTATCTTGCAATTATGCATTTAGTTGAGAGATACAGTCGTCCTCAGATGTATTCATACCCTCCCATTAAAGAAGGAAATGAACAGCTGTCACTGAAATAAGTTGGCAAAATTTATAATAAATAAAAATTTAATGGACATCATGACATTGCTTTTGAATTGTGGTTCAACAGAAATATTTTTTAAAAAACAAACAAAAAATAAACAAACCAGCCTGATGGAACCTGTAGACTAATATCTAGCTGAACAACCCTCTGAGCCAATCACTGCCATCAGGTGTTCCTGTAACTCTCAGTCAGACGTCTGCAAAGTGCTCTCATTTGTCTGGGACAGCTTTGTTTTTTAAAATTATTCTTTTCAACCACAATTCAAAAACAACATCTTATTTCACTAAATTCTAATTTAGCAAATTTTTATTTATTATTACTTTTTTCAAATTCTAGTTATTTGAATGACTTTTGTGGATTTTGTCTTTTCTTTAATGGAAGGAGATGAATACATCTGAGGACGACTGTAGGGACTTTTTAGAGTGTATCTTCACATCTGTTGCTGTTTATGACAAATGAGCACACTTATTGTGACAATACCAGTTGTTGTTTTAGTTTTTTTTACCATTCCTGTCCTGTGTGTTCAGAGTTTTCTGCAGACTGACGGAGGACAGAATCAGCAGCAACAGCAAAGTCAGCTGTGTGAGCACAGAACAAGATCATCTAGTTATAGGGATACATGGCGAATGGAACTGCGAAGCAACCGTGCATCGTCTGACACACTGTTAGTGTCCCAACAGACAGATATGTAGGATATGTAAGTAAGTAAGATGCAGCCAGTTTATTCAGAACAACCTTAAAGCAGCCAGCCAACCACAGCTGTTTAGAGCCGGTCGCACAAAAAGCAGCACAGCGACAAAACAACCGTCGACCGAGATCCCTGTCAGAGAACTTTCTCTGTTTGCTCAGGAGTCGAAGCTCATCGGTGCAGATAAGTGGTGACAGTCGCATGCATATGTGACACAAAATGTATTCACTGTGAGGTAGAAAAACAAAACAAAGCACTCACCATTGTAGCTACAAGTCCGTTAGTCTCCATCAGAGTTTGTCTTGTGTGCTGAGAACAAATACGCTCTTTGATTTAATCTGGACTCTGATCAGTCGACAGCGAGGTGAAAGTAAAAATCAATACGGTGTTTATCCTCGTGTTTCACTTCACGTTTCGGTCACTTTCCCCCCAAATGTTACCCTTTAAAATACTGTTTTCTATCATTAAACAGAATGTTGTGGATTATGATTCAGCACAGAGTGACTGGTTTCCTTCGTATCCACACGCCGCTCAGCCACAGCATTAATTCCAGAAACCTTATGTTCAATTAACAGCATTTTGTTTCCTTCTCTTACTGCAGCCTGCTGTTAACAGTCATTCCTGTTTTTGACATCAGATTTTACAACATATTCCTTGATATTTAAGAAAAACAAGTACATTAGTGCTTTTTTTTTGTCACCAGTTATTTATAACAGCGCATATTCTAATAAACCAAGGTGAACAGATTTAGAGGGAAGTTGGATCATAACAGCCTGGAAAACTAAATGTAAAACCCTGAAATCAAGACAAACGCTTTATTCTCACATTTTGATGTCGCTCGGATTTTAACTGCAACACGACTGATTGTAGGTTTTGCAGATTTTTATAGTAACTGAA